GGCAAACCTATAGCACGCGTGCCAGAGGCGGCACTCAGAGCCCTCTCTGTGGGCACGCGCGCCATGCCCCGGAGATGACAACCGTCCCTCTTCAACCAGCCGCCCGCTAACTCGCCGAGGTCCCATGTGGCTGGATGCATCCCAGCACCCATGTGCTCGCTGGCCTCTGTGTGCAGGGGCCGATGGTGTCAGGCAGAAGCTGCCCCGGCCCCTGCCTCTCCTTGCCCTGTGATAATGGCACCTCCGCCCTGCCTCACCTTGCCTTGCCTCACCCTGCAGGACGAGCCTCCTGCCCACCTGCCAGAGACCCCCTGGATCACTCCCAACCCTGTCCGGCCCCCACAGGCATCCCTCCCCACGAGCAACATTGAGGTGATCACACCCACCTTGGCCACAGCCATCCAGTCTGCCATGACCACTACAGCCACTCCCATCCAGTGGGCCACGCCCACCTGGCACCCGGCAATAAATAAGTGGGTTTTGGGTTGCAGTTTGGGCACTTGGTCTCTAAAAGGTTCGCCATGTGGTTCAGGCACTAGGCTAGAAACCAGGAGATTGTGAGTTCTAGTCCTGCTATAGTCCTGAAGCCAGCTGAGTGATCTTGGGCCAGTTCTTCTCTCTCGGCCTTAGAAAGGAGGCAATGGCAAATGAATTTTTTCTGAGAAAAATTGCAGGAACTTCTGCAGGCAAATGACAGGAGTGGAGAAAGAAAAGGAGAAGAAGAAGGATATATAAAATGGTAATCATTACATGGAAGGGGAGAGACAAATAGTACCCCCTCCCCACAAATAAGGCATTGGAGCTGACATTGCTTAGATTTCTTACCTATTCAGGAGTTGTCCCAACCTATCTAAGCTCAGTGCACACTGAGTTAACAGAAGATGTTGCTGTTATCATTATTTTAATTTAGAAAATGTTTTCTGAACAGTCCCAAAATACAATCTTGCTTCTTCCAAAATCACTAATCAGCCAGCCTACAGAAGGGGCCAATACTGTGCATTTAGAAAGATCCATATAGCACTCATTGTCAAGACTAAGGCCATTTAGGGCTTTCCCCATATCTCTAAGTTAAGGTGCCCACCCATCCTTGTGTCAGCATGAAACAATGGCACCCATTAAATTTGTTGTCCGTGTTACCAATCCCTAGCCTATTTCTATTGCTTCTGTTCTAAGTCACTGAATATTCTTACCCTTATCTGATCCTTATTGCTACAGGCATGCTAATTTTTTTTTCCTTCTGGTTTTGCTTCCATCTCTTTTTAGCATTTTTACAGCAAGAATGGCAGTCTTCTAAGTCATTGCCAGAGGAGTGGAATCTCACTTCAGGACTCTCCCTTGGCTGGAGGCAGTCGGTGTGTGTGTGTGGGTGTGTGTGTCCTGCCGAATTGGTGTGTGGATTCCAGCTTCTGCTCCCTGCATGCTGATCAGGTGTTTGGCAGTCAGCAGCAGCACAAAAGTGACGGAGGAAAAAATATGTTCCTTCAAGTCAGTTTTGACTCCTGACAATTTCCCACTGCACTTTTCTCAGCAGCATTTTTCAGAAGTGGCTTACCATCTCCTTCTTCCTGGGGTTGAGAAGAAGTGACACGCCCGAGATCAGCAAACTGGCTTTGTGACCCATGCAGGAATAGAAATTGCATCTCCTCGTTTCTAGCCTTGGCTTTAACCACTACACCAAAGTAGTTTTCAGCAGTAAAGAGCTGTGTTTGTGTATGTGTTAAAAAATGATCCATCCCAGGTATCAAATACGTTAGGTATGCCACTGATTCTACCTATGTTCCTTAGGTTGGTTTGACTGCCCTTCTTCCCATGCTCTATCTGGATAACTGCAAACCTAAAATAATGTGAAATCATGAAAGACACCAGAGCAGATCTGGCCTTAGAGAGGAAGGAAGCAGATTCTACCATGCTGAATCAGTGAATTAGGTCCTGACTAACTAGGTATTAGATAGTTAGTCCTTTATTTCAAGGGATGGGGTGATAGTGGATTAAAAGTGACAAATATAGAGAAAAAGGCAAATATACAACAAACATAATTTTTAATATGACAGGAGAGAACAATAATTAAATACATGGAAAAATTATAAGCATTAATTTCTTTGTCTTTGTTCTGGCCACATTCTTTAGGCCAGTACATAGAATGATACTCAAAAGGCCAAGTTAAACCTCTCAGTCCAAAATATTCCTGACTTAAATAGCAGAAGTGTTCCCACAGCACACTTAAACTGTCACTTAAAGATTTATTGGCTGCCTTTGCATAATATGCCAAAATTGGTAATGTTCATCTTGATGTCAGTGGAAACTCAGAAAATGGGTTAATTCAATAACTAAAATGTGCCCATTATGTGAACACATGAATTTAATTTCTGCTCTGTTGTTTTGCAATATAATGATCTTTGTCATCTTTCTGCTCAAGGATGACCATGTTGAGATCATGGCCACTTTTTAGAGAATGTACAGAAATGGATGTTTTATTCAGATATTGTCTTGGAGCTCTTCTCTAGACCATATTAATGGATTTCCTTTTTTAAATAGTTATCACTAGATTAAAGTCATACAACAATGAAGCCTTCATGGCCTTAGTGATGATTAGGCAGACTGCATCATTATTAAAGTGTAGTTCATTTTCTCCTTTTCTGAAAATGTCACCTTGGGATGTATTGATCAGTTATGTACTCGGTAAATGGCAGAGGAAGCACAAGAACATGAACTACAATTTGAAAAATATAAATAGACAGCAAACAAATCTTTCAGGGATAAAATAAACAAATAAATGAACAGGAAAGATTCTTGTAACTGCTGGAAGATTAAGCAGTTTATTATGGAATAAACTTTCATGGCCTATAATTGACTTTTCCTCTGCACCATATTCGGTTTATGATACACAAAGTACTGTTTTATTGGATAGACTCTAAAGCTTATTGTATGTCGTGTTCCTCAGCAGTCAACACGTTCTGTGCATTTACTTTGAATAGTCGTGTATACACTGCTACTATATTTTTGAATACCAATGATGTTTGCATATGTCAGATGGCAGGCATGCTATATGGCTCTTTCCTTTAAATGCACATCTTTGATGACAAGAGCCATGTTTGTTCAGCAACATTTATTCATCATTGAAGATTGAAAGGAAACTGAAATATGGAATGACTGGCAGACCTGAAGGCCAAAGACAATTTTATTTTCTTTCATCTTTAAAGCAGGTGAATTGGGCAGACAGGCTGTGTTGTATGTATCTCTAATGTAAAAGCATTAACTCATGAAAGGAAAGTTCTATTCTATTTTTTACAGAAAATCTTTTACTGACATTTCTTAATGTAGTGCATGCCAGATGCGATGCTCAGGGGCCATACTGATAAAAGCATGTAGTCTAAAAATAGCCCATTCAGTTGGATGTCTTAGTTCCTTTGTAAGAAGTTCCCTAGCACCTTGAAGGCATTCTGAAGTCTTGCTGTGACAATTGGGATAAGATCTTAACTCATCCGCTTGAGTGTAAAGCACAGATTCTGGGTTGCACAGGTGTACAGAACAAGTTCATTAAAAGGCACATATCATAATAATGCCACTGTACCTTATTTCCTAGGGCCACTTTACACCCAGTACAAAAATGAACACTTGAGGAAATATTGGAAATGTTCTAATAATGTTCCCATTACTAGAATTGTACTGCAGTGCTCAAGTGATTTCAAGTTTGTTTGTTTGTTTTTCCAGTAAAGGAGATGGAAACAAAACTAAAATTAACTAATTCTGTTGGTCTCCCTTTCTTTACTCTGTTAGTCCCAATGAGCACCAGTTGCCAAAGTACAGGTTATCTTGGTACTGTTCTGCCAATTTTATATCTAAATTGAGCTCTTCTTTAGTTCTCTCATGGGACCATTTGTGCACATACGAGGGCAATTCGAAAATAAACATCCGTTTGATTATCAATGACAGACACTGACAGATACAGAATTTTTATTATACACATTAGAAAACTACATTACATTACTTTTCGACATAATCGCCATTCAAATTGAGGCACTTGTCATAATGTCTTACAAGGTTTGAAATTACTTAGTAGTAGTCGCTAAGCGCCAAATCTGGGCTTTGGTGGTGTGTGACCAAAAACATCCCAACTAAACAGCTTTAAAAGTTCTTAGATGCATCCAGCGGTGTGCGGGCTAGCATTATCGTGAACCAACACCACACTGGAAGTCAGCATGCCCCAATGCTTGTTATGGATGGATCATCTGAGTTTTCGTAACGTTTCACAGTAGACTTCTGAATTGATGGTCGAACCACGCTCCATGAACTTTACTAGCAGTACTCTTTTGGTTTCTTCACATTTGGCGGGATTTTCTATGGCACCACTTCCGGTGTGTTGGTTCACGATAATGCTCGCCCGCACACTGCTAGACGCACCCAAGAACTTTTGAAGCAGTTCCATTGAGATGTTTTTGATCACCCCCCCCAGCCCAGATTTGGCGCAGAGTGACTACTACTAAGGAATTTCAAACTTTGTGAGACGTTATGACAAGTGCCTCAATTTGAACGGCGATTATGTCAAAAAGTAATGTAATGTTGTAGTTTTCTAATGTGTATAATAAAAGTTCTGTATCTGCGAGTGTTTGTCATTGATAACCAAATGGAGGTTTATTTCCGAATTGCCCTCGTACCAACCACATATTAACATTCTTGGATAATCTCTGGCTTCATGTGTTTCATTTAATAAGCAGAATAAGCAGGCATATGATCGATGGGAATTCCATATTTTTTTTCAAAATTAATCCTTTCAAAAGTCCAAGCAGAACAGTTATAGGTAAATATACATCATCTAATATATTTTGTTATGCTCCAGAAATTCTGGCCAAAAGGACTGTACTAGTGGGCAACCACACAAAATATTTAAAGATCTTTTCCTGCTGCTTAGATGTCCATCTTTCAGTCATCACCTGATGACATGCAGTGCTTTGGGGAGGAATCTCAGTAAAAAATGTCCATCATATGGAGAAAAAGGAAGCTCAAGAGTTTTGAAATCCCCAAACTTCTAGTAGCTGGATCTGGAAGTTTTGCTGGCAGAGAGGAGGGTTGTCAAATGTTTCACAGCGTTCTGTTCTTCCATGATTCAGATTGGCATCAATATATAGAGCCTGGCCTCCACCTCCCCCTAGAAAAAAATCAACATGATTAGTGAAGAAATGTTTCTCACCATCTTACGGAACAGAGTTTCAGATACTGCCCCTGGTCTCTTTTCCTTTTACTTGCATCTAGCAGCTTCTGACTTGAATTGAAGATGGATGTGTTGTTATATTAGACATGACACAGTTTTTATATCATCATGGAAAATGATGACTTTGAAGACTTATGAAAAATGTCTAAAAATGATGATTTTAGACATAAATGGTATAAATGGGTATGTCTAGTCTAATGAAAAGAAGGACCAAGGGTGTGTATGTGACATGATAGCACTATTCCAATATTTGAGGGGCTCCTACAAAGACAAGGGGGTCAAACTATTTTCCAAAGCATCAAAAGGCAAGACAAGAAACAATGGTTGAAAACTAACCAAGAACAGAAGCAACCTAGAACTAAGGAGAAATTTCCTAATGGCGAGAGCAATTAACCATTGGAATCAGAGGCGTAGCGTGGGGGGTGCAGGGGGGGCCGGCCGCACCGGGCGCAACATCTGGGGGGGGCGCTCGCACTCGCAGCTCTCTGCCCCTGCCTGGCTCACTCACTCTCTCTGCAGTGCTGGCTGTGCGAATCCGATCCGAGCCGCTGGGTCGCCGCCCACTGTGGAGGGGGGGCGCAAATTACTTGCCTTGCCCCGGGTGCTGACAACCCACGCTACGCCACTGATTGGAATAGTTTGCCTTCAGAAGTTGTGGGTGCTCCATCACTGAAGGCTTTCAAAAAAAGACTGGAGACTTATTTGTCCTAAATGGTATAGGGTCTCCTGCTCGAGCAGGGGGTTGGACTAGAAGACCTCTAATGTCCCTTCCAACTCTATTATTTTACGTTCTATGATTTATCTTTGCTAATATGGTCATGTACTGTTGCCTCCTTGTGGCTGTCATGAATAGCACAGTATTCTCTGGCTGTATATGCTGCAGAACAAGCTGATCAATGACCACCCGCACTACCTCATCAATAAGCACAAAATTCTTGTGTATATCAGGGCTTATTCTGCAAGGTACATAATATGTTTATTTGATTAATATAAGCCACCAAGGTTTATTATTCCATCCATACTAGGTAGTTTGTATGTGTGTGTTGTCTTCTATTTCTTAGACTTTGCCTGATATCAGTGAACAACATCTCCATGCTTTGGTTAAGGATTTCAGCTAATTAAAATCCTTAACAGAATAAACAATTCCTCTCCTCTTATTTATCTGTAATTATCTATAGTTATCTATGAACCATCTTTTGATGAAGAACTCACCAACAAATCAAAATAAATAAAAACAAAACAATTTATATAATTGAAAATTTTAAAACAACGGTCGAACTGCAAAACCAGGTTTTTAAAAGTTGTTTGAAAATGACTTTTAAAACTCAAGAGATGCAGCTATCTTTTGCAATTAGGGACAGTAGTATTCATAATAAACTACAACTCGGCAGGTTCATCAAAGCTAACTAAATCATATTGTGGCTTAATATGACATAAGAATACAACTTAGGGGGATTGCAAGAGAATGAGATGCTCTTGTGAGCACCAGCATCTTTCAAGCCTATTCTGCAGATAACTGAACCGGTTCCAACAGATGCTCTGTAGTTAGCCAGATCCAGGGACATTTGGAACTTTAAAAGCTAGAGCCAGTTAATGAATTGAACTCATGAAATAATTGATGCTGGGCCCTGATCTTTTCTACTGTTAATTCTCACTGAATTTTCTATTTGAAAATTCAAATTTTATGCGGCTTGAAATCAACCTTTTTCATGTGACCGCCATTTATAATGACCCTACCACAAGCATCAATTTCACATCATGATGTAGTGCTCAGCAAGTGTTTCACCTTCCTCTCCTTGAGCTGACTTGTGCTCTCTCCATCCAGCAATTATTTCCTTCTTAGCTACTCCCTTGCCACAGTTACTTTTCACAGCAAAAAAACCCCAGACAGGCTGTTGAACAAGAGGCAGCATGGCAAAGCCAGCTCTTGATGAAAGTGCAGGAGAGAGCAGGTAAAGTATGGTGGCACATTGTCATTCACCAAGAAAGAGAATCCTAAGTGCTGCAAGGTGAGACAAGGTGCAAGGTGGGAGTTCCAGCCAATAAGGAATCATCAAGCACCTAAAAAAAAACCCAACACCTTGCCTTATTTCCTCTGGAGTAGGAGAGACAGGCTTAGCTTTCCAACCCCAGAGAACATTTGTACTGCTCTCCTTTGTGGGAAAGGTCTTAGTTTGCTTTCACTTCCTCTAATGCTGAATTCAGGTAGAGTCTGCTGGCAAATTTATAAGCAAAGATGAGAGTAGGAGAAATTTTTTAGAAATATTTAAAATAACCAGAACTCAGCCAAGTAACTCACAATATTAGCTATGTTTAGATTTTGAGACAGACATGCAGGTTCAACATTAGATGAAGGGGAGTAGGTGGAAGCAAAAGCTAGGAGCTAGAAGGAAGAAACAAGGCCAGGCATGTGTGATGTTGTGGAGGAGTGAGAAAAGTAGTCAAGAGCAAGGCACACAGAGGAGACAGGTGGATTTGTAAGTGACAGATTAAGAAAGAAAGAAAAGAGAAAACAGGGTGAAAAAAAGCAAATGTAGCAATACTCCTGGAACAAAGGGTTTTATTGCAAGTCCCACTTGTTAGGATGTTGAGAGGAGGATGGTGATGATGATGATGTTGTTGTTGATGATGATGATGGTCATCATGATGATGATATAACTGGTTCTATATGAACATTTCTTCTTCATATGTTTTGGTAGGACAACCTTGCCAAAAGTTCCTCATGACCTTTTACCGTATTGACTTTCTCCTATACATCCTTTTCCTATCCTAAAATATACTGTAGGTTGTGATCATCCCAGTTCAGCTGTGGTTGAATTTATTAGTTAAATAACCAGCACCAAAATAACATTTGATTTGAGGATTAGGGGCAGGGGGTGCCAGAAATGTGTATAGTGCTTAGATCTACAGATTATCCGCAAGGTTTGTTTGCATAATTACCTATGATGATTTCTTCCTGGCTTCCAGACATAAACATGGAAGCTGTTTTGGAGGGCAACCTGAAGTGTCTAATTGCCAGGAAGGGAGAGAGACGGTATTTAATTGTTTCTAGTTTTGGTACAGTGAGGTGATTTGAGCTGGTTGTTTTGTGACTCTCCAAAGAAAAGGGAGATGGAGAACGCTGGCGTTGGGAACAAGGTAGAGCTTTAGCTTGTTCTGGCTTCTTGATGAAGACCCATTCATATCGCTCCATTTTAGGATGCACCTTTTAAGAAAAAACAATATCAATCAGGGATATTTTGGAACTCACCACCCAGAATAAGCAGGCATTTCCGCCCCCCCCCCGGGGATCCAGAGTTTTGATGTAGTTTTGGGAAGGAGGGTTAAAACAGCCCTATCCTCTCCTTAATTGGAGTGTTTGTCCCATAAAACAGAACTGAAATCTGACAAGGGCACAAGGGTACAGTAGCTAAAAAGAAATCAAACCAGAAAGACATCAGAGAAATGGGAAAGAGAAGCCTCAAACACAAAGTAGAGCACCATAGCAATGGTCTTCAAGCAAAAGAAAACTGCAGTTCTTGGCCCTGCAAGATCAGCTAAGAGACAAAGGAGGAAAAGAGCCTGACCAGTGTCTACAAACCCAAGCAAGCCTACAAACCAGGTCCAGAAAGAGAGGACTGTAAGCACTGGAGGAAGAGAAAAGCCCATAACAAAATCTATGGAGAGAAAAGGGTTTTCACATGCAAGGGACTGAGCCTGGCTACAAGAGCTGAAGACCTGGGAAAAAGAAAATATTTAAAGAAATAACTGGACTTTCTTATTTTCTTTGAAGACATTTTGCTTCTCATCCAAGAAGCTTCTTCAGCTCTTCAGAGAAAAGGGAGAATCTCCATAGACATTTAAATAAATAGTTAAGGTAGGGAAACATAGTGCTACAAACATAGAAGTAGGAACATCAACATAGAACTTAGAGATAAGAATGTATAAATTAGGATAAAATCATTGTAAATTGTAATGGGAAACCTGTAGCTTCAGAAAGGTGGGAAAATAGAAACACACATACAGTTAGCATTAAGGTTACAAGTAAGGAAAGGAGTTTAATTTTGTACAATAAAGCAGTTTTTGTAGAGATAGTCCTAACTGTGAAAAATTGGTACATTTAGCAAGGACTGCACAAGAATAGGAAACTCTAAAGCAGTGATGCATAGGCTGCAAGTTGCACTTAACTCCCTGATGTTACACAACCACATGTTGGTGGCATACTATGGCATGATTTTATTTATTTATTTATTTATTTATTTATTTATTAATTGCATTTATATCCCGCCCTTCTCCTTACGGACTCAGGGCGGCTGACAATTGAATAAAATACTAACATATATACATATTATCCCTAATTAAAATTTAATTAAAACAAAATATTTAAATATGTCCAATTAAAAGTAATTAAAACCCCTTTAAAATCCCTCAGGCCAGTCCCG